GCCATTTGCTAGATCTTCTTTTGTACACGTGAGGGAACATAAACTGCATGCACATAAATGCCGCATTGATTGAATTTCTGCACATTCACGGAAAATTTGTCTCATCTCCAAGTAGCCCCTTTCTACTTGATTATTCTTTGATCTTGCGACTCCGCTTCCAATTCTAGGAAGTGACTTCCAGATGGCCCAGCCAGAATCTCTTTAAAGGAGTGGAAGAGCGCTCTATCACACCACATAATTTTCATAAACTACAGCATGCATCTTTCGTTGAGCATCTTTTGTTTTCTGATGGGTCACTGGAAGGCAAACATGGGCTTAACTGAACCTTGTCATGGAATGGTTAAGCTGCAGGACTGCAGTGAAGACTGCTCAGCAGTGGAATGGTTAAACTGCAGGACTGCAGTGAAGACTGCTCAGCACCTGAGTTCAATCCCTATGGGCTCAGGTACGTAGCCATCTCAAGATTGGCTCAGACTTCCATCCTTCTGAAGTGGGTAAATTGAGAACCCAAGTTCATGGGTATGCAGGCAGCGTGCAGCCTGCACAATTAAACAGTAAACCACCCAGAGGATGCTTTAAGTGCTACTAAGTCCATGGGTATGCAGCCTGCACAATTAAATGGTAAACCACCCAGAGGATGCTTTAAGTGCTGCGGGGTGGCATACAAGCAGCCTGCTTTCCTTTTTGCCTTTAATCGGCGTGTTTCATTGCCGAGGAAATCCTTTTATGGGAGGGATACAAGCTAATCAGCCCAATGTAAGGAATGAATGCTTCTCTTAATGTCTGGCTCTGCTCAATACTTTGTGTAAGTAATTGAACTGGATATATATTTTTCTCTGGCTTACATTACCATCATACAATTTCATATTAGCTATATGTGGGGTTTTCTCCTTCTTCTCTTCCAATGTCTCTCTTGCCTCTAATTTTAGTTTGCAAGCTACTTGGGAGAGGGGCCTGTCTTTTCTTGTTACTCTCTAAAGTAATATTAATATAGACAATACTGTTTATATGGAATATCAGGCTAAGACTCAGCTTTTAGCTAGGAATTTCTATTTGCTGGGTCCATCCGTGTTGGCTGCGTCCTGCAGTTCCTTGACCGTGCCATTGTTTTGCAGCATGCTTATTTCTTTCCTTTCTTTCACTGTTTTGCAGTTGTTTTAACCATGCTCTATACCCACCGTGCAGTTCTTAAACAGGGCAGGATATAAATGGAATAAAATTATACTTCCATCTATCTCTCTATCAAGCAACAGATTAGCAGAACGATTTAATGACTCAAAAGCAGGACAGCCTACCAGCTAGCATGCTAATCACTTTAAAGTCTTAATATAGAACATGACCATGATTTGGATGGTCTGATTAAAAGATGTTCAGATAAATCAAAAGTATGGATACATTTCTTTTGGTTTTATTTTGTTTTACAACATGAATTACTGAACCCTATCTTCCGATAGCTCAGTGAGTTAAGTATCTGGCTGTGAAACCAAAGATTGGGAGTTCAATTCCCCACTGTGCTGCCTAAAGGGAGAAGAGCCAGCCTGGGTAGCCTTGGGCCAGCTGCACAGTCTCAAGGGTGCCCCTAGAGGAAGGGAAGGGTAAAGCACTTCTGAGTATTCTCTACCTGGAAAACCCTGATAAAGATCACTGTAAGTCAGAAGCTATTGATTCAGTTTAGGTTGATGCCATAATTAATTCCTTAATTTTTAAGACTGTCCAAAAGGTTTTGTATAAAAAAAATTCTGTGCCATGTGTAGTTATTTTAGAGCTGCATTTAAACAAACATGCAAAAAGACAGAACAGACAAAGACCACAGTTAGCTTTGTCGGCCATAAGAAAAATCCATAAGGAAATCTACCCAGAAGACACACACACAAAAAAAAACCCATGAATTCTTTCAAGGTTTTTTTCTTTTTGACAGGCAAAGTGTTAACAACAACAACAACAAAAACAGGTGGGGAGAAAGGATGGGGGAGGGTTCCTTGGTTGTTTCAAGTCACTATGATGCCTGCATCATCTTAGGGTAAAATATATATTATGGAGAACCCATTGTCGCAAGTGGAATTCCTCAAGGGCTGGACGGCCCCATGAATTCTTTCAAGGTCTTTTTCTTTTTGACAGGCAAAGTGTTAACAACAACAACAACAAAAACAGGTGGGGAGAAAGGATGGGGGAGGGTTCCTTGGTTGTTTCAAGTCACTATGATGCCTGCATCATCTTAGGGTAAAATATATATTATGGAGAACCCATTGTCGCAAGTGGAATTCCTCAAGGGCTGGACGGTGTGTGATTGTCACAGCAGTGCCTTTTCTCATCTCCCGCACTTCCCCATTTAGCTTGCTTTGTTGTTGTCATGACTAAGTTGTTGGTCGATAGTTTGCCCCAGAGACTTAATATAAAAAGCAGGGAGGAAGGTTTGGAACATTCAAACTACAAGGAGGTGCGGTGATTTCAGGTTTTCCCTGGAAATTGCCCCATAAACTATTAGGAACAAGAAAGGAGCAATCTATGGATCACCTTCCATTAATTGATAATATGAAATCCAGCCGTTGTTCCCAGCTGTCTTCATTTTGGATGTAGCCGACAGTTGATTAGAAGCTATTGAGGATGAGTCCGGTTTGACTCAAGAGTCTGGAACTGGCGCCAAACTACCAACTATACTCTTTAATTTTATTCAGTTTATACCACCACCACCACCACCCCGTGGCTGAGGTTCTCAGGGCAACATACATCATCATGAAAACAAACAGGATAAAGCCCACGATAAAACCCATGATGTCACTTGAAAGCAAAAAGAAGCTGAAAGCAGCAGCAACATATTAAAAGCGGAAGCATCAAAGCATAGGGAATATGTTGAATATATATAACCAGGGACTAGGGGAGATGGCTGGATAGTTTAATGGTTAGGTACCTGGCGGCAGAGCTAGAGGCTGCGAGTTGTATTCCCCACTATGCATCCCAGGAGAAGAGCCATCCTGGGTAGCCTTGGGCCAGCTGCACAGTCCCAAGTTTGCCCCCTAGAGGAAGGGAAGGGTAAAGCACTTCTGAGTATTCTCTACCTGGAAAACCCTGAACAGGCTCTCTTATAAGTCAGAATTGACTTGACGGCATAGGATTATTATCATTATGGACTAGGGTCATTTTAAAGCAAATCCTTGGGTACAGAACAAGTAGCAAGCAAGAAAGAAGTCTCAGATGGTTAAAAAAAAATCAAACGAACTAAATGAAGTTGTTGAAAGTTATTCTTTTGTGTGTGGGGGGGTATTCCAGAGTTTGGGGGCCAGTGCAGAAAATCTCCCCCACTGCTTTGCAAGTAGCAACCGGCAAACCTCTGTATACTCGTCACTCAGAATCTTAGATGATGATCTCCCAACCTGGCAGAAACAAAGGGTGTGTGTGTGTGTCAGAGGGTCTCTGAGATATGAGGGCCAAGGGCCACAGAGGGCTGTATAGGGTAAATCAAGCAGTTTGGGAGGATTTTACCAAACCAGACGGAAACGATGAGTTTAGCCCCTCACTCACAGCAAAGAACTCATACATGCTTCAGAGTGGCCGTATCTCTCCAAGGCTTCCTCCAGGCAGAATCCTCTAAGCCTACCTGGAGATGCTCGGGCTTGGACCGTTTGCAATGGAAATCTCATGCTCTGGCACTGACCTAAGGTCTCTTCCCATTATATCATCCATTAGCTCCCTGGTATGGTGGCTGAAGGGGGATGGAGGTTGTGGAAGCAAAAACTAAACCATCAGACTGGGTCTCTCCTCCTTCGGGCACATCACAGGAAGGCAAGCCTCACTACTAGAGGCAATAATGTTAGGAAAAGTTGAAGGCAGCAGGAAAAGAAGAAGACCCAATACAAGATGGATTGAGTCCCTAAAGGAAGTCAATGTTTGCAGGAGCTGAGCGGGGCTGTTGAGGACAGGACCTATTGGAGATGCCATAAACCAAGAGGCAACTTAACAGCACGTGGTGGCAGAACCTTCTGAGCGGGGCTGTTGAGGACATGACCTATTGGAGACGGCTCATTTGTAGAGTTGCCATGAACCAAGAAGCAACTTAACAGCACGTGGTGGCAGAACCTGCGTGGACTCTCAGCACTTCCACGTGTCACGCATGTGATCTGTCACAAAACTGCCACCTTTGCAGCAGGGAGAAATGGGGGAGAAACCTTTCTGTAAGGCCTCTTCATTCATTTGACTGCAAAAGTATACCTAGAAAGACAAATCACGGGGTCTGAATCAAATCCAGCCCAAACACTCATTATAATCTAAAACAAGGGAGGCGATTGTACTTTGGATATATCTGCAGAAGACAAGACTCGCTGGAAAAGACAAAATGCTGGGGAAAACAGAAGGCAACAGGAAAAGAGGAAGTCCCCCCAATATGAGATGGACTGAATCAATAAAGGAAGCCACAGCATCGAGTTTGCAAGTGCCAAGGAAGGCTGTTAATGACAAGATTGCCGGAGGGCCATTCATTTGTCGGGTCCCCATAGACTGGAAACCATGTGGCAGCACAGAACCACCGGGATCTAGAAATATAAAATAGTTCGCCTATAAAAAATACAAACGGCGAGCGTGGCGTGGATGAGCAGGACACGTGTGTACATTTGGGTGTCACACAGGAACCCACAGCAAAGAACCAGGAGCAGCTGGAGCAGCGCACCGGAGGGCGGCCCCGGGCATGCCATGGAGCACGGTGTGGAAAAAGCCGCGTTTGGCGTGACTTGAAACGCCCTTTGGAAAACATTCTGGGTGGCACATGGCGCTTGCACAGAAGCTTGTGCAAAGTCCTTAGGCAACGTGGGCAGCCAAACAACAGCCCGACTCCCCTGAAAATCCAAAGACGGCTGTTCGCCTCCGGGGCCACCTTTTCAAATGAACGCATGCAGGAGAGGGAGAAAAAATTTAAGCGATTCAGGCCGGCCAAAGCGCGACCCTTTATTTATAAGCCATGACGACAATGAGAAGAAGAAAGCACATCATGCTTTTCCTGGAGAGGCCGGGACCCGCTGCATGTCGGCAATGTGCACCACCATCTCCCCGAATGGATAAAGGGATGGCGCATCTTAGGGCATGACTTAACATGAGCAGATGACAGTGAGGATGAAAATGGAGACTGGGGACTAGGAGCTGTCTGCCATGCCGACATATCTGTCCTGCAAGTGATGGATGCAAAGAGAAAAGCATTCAGACAGCTCTCCCACACCGCCATGCAAGGCTAGCTGAAAGGAGCCACGTCCGCCTTACCGTGCTTTGGTTGGCAGGCGATCCGGGTCTGGGTGCCCTCGGTCCCACGGGCCAGGCTCTGGGGGTTCTGCCTGCAGGAGAGGTTGTCCTTGATGGGGTCGGTGCAGGAGAACGGGGACATGAAGAGGAAAGAGCACAAGGTGCATGGCAGATAGCTGCAGTTCTTTAGCATGCCGGCTGCGTTTTCCTTCAGCTGCATCCGCAGTCAGGAGAGAAAAGGTCCCCCCCCCCGGAAAAAAATAGCTCGGGCTGTCAGTGGCTCGCGGAAACCTGAGAAAGAAATCGCTGAATGTGAAGATCTGGCAGGGGTCGTGGGTGTAGGTTCTGAGCAGAGAGAAACCGGATGGCAGGAGGCATGCGGGATGAATTCTCATGTGCCCAAGGAGCCAGAGTGCCAGCCGGGTCTGGGTATCTCGTAACATCAACCCACCAGTTCCACCACCCCCTGCCCGTGCTTAACCCTTCAGTGCCCCGCCTAGAAAGAAAAGGCCAATGTGTTTTGAAAAAAGAAAGAAAGAAAGAGCAGTCTTTTCATTATGCCCCCCCTTCTCTCTTTTTTTGGGGTTGGGTGACAGGTTGAATTACAGCCATGCCCTACTTCTGGAAAAAAAACAAAAACACCCTGCGTACTCCAGCGAGCTGGCATTATGCAGCGGTCTGCACATTTCAGACCCGTCAATAGCACAGCTTCCTTTTGTTTTGGCGAGATCTCCCCTGGCCTCTCTCTCTCTCGGCAAGCCTGATCATGAAAGACATCCTGCTGCTGCCGCTGCTGAGGCGGCCAAAAATAAATAAAATCAGCAGAAAATAAAAACCAAAAAAAACAGGTTCCCTGGCAAAGCCGTGGCCGGCCAGGATAGATAATGATTGAAACAACCGTCATGCCGGAGACACTGGCCAGGGCAAACTAGCTGCAAAAGGAGAGCCTCAGAGTTATGTACATTGTGTGGCTGCTCTTTACGGTACCATTTAAATGGACATGTGTACTTCATAAGCAAGAGAAATACCGTTGCCCCACAAAGCTTACAATATACGCACATACACACACAAAATACAGGGAGAGGCCAAGGGTCAAACTAGAGAAACACACTTAATGTGTATGTAGAAACAGTGCTCCCTCAAGTGGTGAAAAAGAGCTGCTTATCACAGCATGTGATGTTTCTTACCTCAGTGTCTTGTAGTCCAGCACGTGATTGGTTACAGAGTGGTAAACATGGGCTGAATTTGCAAGTCTCATTGCAGAGGCAAATAGCTCTGAGGATATCATGCTGCAGGAAGAAAAAAAATAAGCTAATCAGAACAAATAGCATTCTCCTAAGCATTCAGTTTCACTTATTTCACGGAAGCACAGGTAGACATGGTAGATAGGAAGCATCTGAGTCAAGGGTTGTCTACACAGGTCCTTCTGGAGTTGGCTGGTGCAGGCTTAATAAGGTCATTGCGGGTCAAATAGAGGTGTGTCATTTGGTGCAATGTTTGCATCCAAGCAGCACATCAGAGCTGAAGAACTCCTATTGGGTCTGGCTCCTTCTGGTTTGAATTCTTGATATCGTGAAGTGACTTAATAAGTGAGCCACTTCAGGATATTGACAAATTGAACATTTCCTCTGTTCCTTGGCTGTGGATCAGGGGAAGTGAAAACAATTATTTTAAATTATAGTAAGACCTTCACTGATGCACTACATCACTTATAAAAAATAATTAAAAACAATTTTTCCCTTTGTTTCAAAGGACCGGTTGAGAAACTGTCCACAATTGAATCCGTGGATTCAACTAATGCTTTAGACAAGATGAAGAAAATACATTATTTTTAAATTTTGTATAAGTGATGCAGTGAATCTGTGATAGTCTACTACAGTCTAAAAAAAATCACATCCCTTGTTCTTCAACTGCAGAGCAGAGGAAGTGCTAAATTTCCCCAAATCCTGAAGTGGATGCTTTCTGAATGCAAAGCACATGCCCTAATGTTGAGTGGCATGTGTTACCCCATAACCATGGAAAGTAAGAGCGTAAGAATCTCTGCATTATCAGAGAAGGGCGTCTGTGCTGAACTAAGAGGTTCCCGGAATGGGGCTGAATCCGAGCTGGTGATTAATGTCGCTTCCCCCTGTCTTGTCTCCCTTTAGCCAGAAAAAGGGGTGAGCCTGCAGCGATGCTAAGCCTTTTCCGTCCTTGAGGGTGGACGGGATGAACAGTCTGTTCTCTCCACTGCACTCTTGCATAAAAGCTACTTTGAGCAATCATGTGGTTGATGGAACAGAGGGTGGAATAGAGCCTTCTGAAATAAATAATCATCAAAATAGAAAAGTATATAATGCAGGCTTTGAACCTGTGTTCCCCACCTTGGGTCAGCCAGATGTTCTTGGACTCCAACTCCCAGAAACCTTCACTGCTCGCTGTGATAGCCAGAGTTTCTGGGAGTCTCAGTCCAAGAACACCTGGCTGACCGCAGGTTGTGAACCACTGCACTACACAAAGCGCTGAAGCCTTGTCGCTACTTATGATTTAATTTACTTCTTCCTTGCAATGTCCCAGCTCAGACTACAACTCCCATAATCCTGCAGCAGCCATACTGGCTGGGGGGAATCTGGAAGTTGTGTTCCAATACAATAATGTATCCACATGCTAATTCTTCTGTTATTTAAGGTTATGGGGAGCATCATGGTTTATATTAAATTAGAGGGGTCTTGGATAGAACTAGGGGATTCTGGACATTGGAGTACAAAGGAGAGAGAGAGAGAGAGAGAGAGAGAGAGAGAGAGAGAGAGGAATGTTTCGCAATCTAACCAAAAAAAGAGCAACAAAACAATAACTGAATATTTTAGTACAAAAAACCACAACATATTTGTGTAGTTTTTGTGTGTGAATTTACTAAAAAGGAATAAAATATTAAGAGTCTTATGATGCTTCACAAGATTTTCTTATACTTCAATGAATATTATTGAGATAAACTTTGCTTTTACAATGCCTTTTTGGGGTGGGCTGACGAATGGACATTTTTTTCTCAACTAGCAAACTGGGAGAGTGGTTAGAGTATCTCACAAAGAAAGCTTTCAGTTCTATTTGGACTTCATTGCTTCATTTTCCCTTCCACCGTGGCTGTATACGGTCCTGGGAAAGCATTGCCCTCTGAATTTTATTCATCTTGGCCTCTTAATTCAGTTTAATTCCACTCCATACTCAAAATGTCTGGGTAGCTCAGTGGTTTAGGCATCTGGAGCCAGAGGCTGGGTGTTCGATTCCCCCACTGGGCCTCCTTGACGAGGGCTGGTCTTGATGATCTATAGGGTCCCTTCCTGAGCTGCAGTTCTGAGATTATGATCATAGCCCAGCTTTTTTCTTTTTTTGCACAGGGTTACTTTTTTTAAAGTTGCATCTGGTCTTTAAAAATCATTCCGCCAGCTGCCCTGCGTCTTTGCAGAATAGGAAGGAATAAAAACACAAGCCGACGTATTCTCCAGAGGAAGGAGGCCCCAAATTCAACAAGGGAGAAGGATAAAAATACACGGAGAAGGTGAATAAAAATAATGGATTCGAGGAACCATTCCGGATGCTAGTTACTAGATGGCAGCATTGTACAGACCATGGGGCTGCTTTCACTGAGCAGCGACCCTCCGCGGCTGACGTTAAGGGTCCTAGACAGCATGAATAAGCAAGACCGTCTTTCTCTTCTAGAGCCTCCCATGTTTTATGAATAAAAACAAAGATAGCAAGAGTGTAGCAAAGGGTGGGGTTTTCAGACCAAAGTCCCAGAAACCCTCAGCCAGGATGGCCACTGGCATTCTTTCCTTTAATCTGATTTTCAACCTCTCCCTGGAGGTTACTAAATATTTAGTATACAGATCGTAACTGTGATGAATCCATTCCTGGAGGTACATCCCACGGTGATATCATCATAGCTTCACAGGAGAAACCCATGCCTTTCTAATACCGTGTTTCCCCGAAAATAAAACAGGGTCTTATATTAATTTTTGCTCCAAAAAACACATTAGGGCTTATTTTAAGGGGATGGTTTATTTTACAGTCATATCTTCTTCTTCTCCACAATGGAGGAGGGCAGGGTTTCACTTAACTAGGGCTTATTTTTGGGGTAGGGCTTATATTACGAGCATCCTTTAAAAATCATATTAGGGCTTACAGTATTTTCAGTCTAGGTCTTATTTTCTGGGAAACAGGGTATTTTTCTTCTGACCGAGGCCAGCCTCTCCAAACTGGGTGTCTGCCAAATGGCTTGGACTACAAAGTCCATCAATCCCAACCTTGAATCCTGTCGGCAGCCTGGTCAGGGAAGAGGAGCATCCGAATCCAACACACTATCAGAATACCACCGTGTTGTTCCGGCTCTCGGCCTGGCTTTGTCTTTCGAGCAAACCAAAGAGCCAGAGCTTCTGAGAAGAACCCGGGTCCAGAATGGAACCGCATCTGAGCTTCTGTGAGGTCATATAAGGCCAGGCAAGAGGTGGGAGGATTACGGAATCCTGTCATAAGGTCATAATACAGAAGAATACCAACAGCTATCCTCTTTTGAGGTCTCAGAAGACAAGTGGACGTCATTCTTTGTTCATTTCAGAAGCACCATGGTATAATGAATAAATACATCAGATATTTTTCACCGGATGATATCATCAACTCCATGACCTTCTTAGAACTTCAAGAAGCGGCCTTTTGGATCATCAAACCCAGGTTCTATCCAAGAAGGCCCAGTGAGGGATCAAACTCCCAACTTCTGGCTCTGCAGCCAGAGAGCCAAACCATGGGCAACATCAAGAGCGTTTGAGACAGTTAGCATCAAGTGTTCCATAACAGCTGTGGAGGGGCAAAGAGTACATTGGCGTAGGTGTGGATTTGCCTGTTCTTCTCTATACTCCCAAAGGACTCTGCCTATGTGAAATCTCCATTTTCTTCAGTTCACTTTGGTTCTTCCAACTCAGCTCTGTAGCCTGCGAAGGGACTTCCAAGTAACCCGGTGCGCCCTGTGACCAGGGGCTAGACTTTCCTGAGGCCCCATCCATTTTAAGAAGTGGGCGGTCCTTTCTTTCCACCGGGTGATGGGAAAAAGGGGGAACGCCTTCAAGCAAAGTGGGACCTCTTGCTGAGTGTTCATTTAGAAAGGCAGTTTCCTGCAGCTGCCTCAGTCTAAATCAATCAATCAATCAATCAATCAATCAATCAATCAATCAATCAATCAATCAATCAATCAATCACCAACCAACCAACCAACCATCCATCCATCCATCCATCCATCCATCCATCCATCCATCCATCCATCCATCCAGGGTGTTTCACTGGAGATCAACAGAATGATATTCAGTGCAGCCAACGTTCTCGCTAAGTGGTTCCCAGCCTTGGGTAACCCAGATATTCTTTGGACTGCAACTCCCAGAAATCCTGGCCAGCCCAGCTCATGGTGAAGTCGTCTGGGAGTTGTAGTCCAAGAACATCTGGGTTACCTGAGGTTGGGAAGCACTGAGCTAGCTGCTGCCTTCTGCTGGGGCTGGTGTGTTCAACGGTTGCCTTCCTTACTTCTTCCACAGATCTCTCAGCGTGGTGTTTTGTCCAATTGTTTTGACAGCTACAGCTTCAGGAACAAAGCAAAACAAAAACACAGACATCTAACCCTCCTCCCTTTCTTTCGCCCTTCGATTTTGCTACTCCTCTGAAAAGAGCCCATTATGCTCCATTTTGGGTGTGTGTGTGTGTGGAGGAATGCAAATGAATATAAACAAGAGAGAGCCAAATTAAATATGTACTTTTGTTTGGTGTAAGAAGAGCCGACGTTCTGGAATGTACAAGGATGTTTTTTAATCCCCAAAAAGGAACAGGAATTCTCAACACACAGTGCTGCCCTGGCCCATACTTTCTGATGTTCCTGCTAAGAAAGACCTTCCCCTCCAAAGAAAAAATAAAAATAAAAAAGCCATCCAATGATTATTATTTTTATTTGTTTCATTTATTTGTTTTATGCCTTTAAAAGGCCAGTAATATAGAGCGGGAAGGAAGATGGAAAAAAGACTGGGATCCAGGCACTGAGATATAAACACATATCAATTTTCAGGGGACGAGTTCTCTAAACAAAAAGCCGTTAACACTCTCTTTCTTTGAGGAAACCAAGCCCCGTTTGGGTGAGCGGAGGAGATACCAAAGGACCAGACCAGACGGGGGTGGAACACCTCCATTTCGGACCCAGGGATCTGTTGGAGCTTTTACAACCTCGCATGCTGCCAGTACTTTGTCTGGGTCGGGGTGACTGTCAATCTATCCCAGCCCTAACCAATCATTCCCTCCCACCGCTGAATTCAAAGAGAGCCCCGCCTCTCTTCTGAGTGCAGGGAATGGAAAACCGCTTCTGAGTATTCTCTACCTGGAAAGCCCCAGAAAGGGTCATGATAAGTCTGAATCGACTCAAGAGCACGCAATGCTTACTGTTTTTCTAGACTAAGTACAGCTTTTGGAACCAGGCTTGTAGGTACGGAGGTGAATATGCCACATTTTAAAGCTGGAATTGTGCTGCAGTTGAAGGAGATACTCTGTCCAGCCTCGGAAACATTGCATCCGTCTTCTGCCCCCTCTTGCGATGGCCAGCATGGGTTGGGCAGACCTTTTCCACCGCACACTGCACACAACCGTGGCACGCCAGGAATGCAGCTGTTTATCTAAAAAGCATGGCCACTGGCAGGCCTCCTCATTCTTCCAATTTTGTGTTTAGACAAAACAAATCAGATCTTCCCACCCTCCTGGTCTGGAATTTGCTCTGAGAAATGGACAGAAAGGATGGCAGGTATTGTGCGGCTGTGCGCAGAAATGGTGGCAAGTGGAAAGCAGGCGCCCCGAAAGAAAATACACACTGTACTATGCGGGTGCCACCGAGGGAGCTCCGCTTTAAGGCAGACCTCAGAGGAATGGTTTCAGGGAGGAGAGGAAAACATTCTCATCCTCTATCACCTTTTTGTCTGCCCTTGTAGACCCCTTCTCTAGTTGTCTAAACGGTCCTATGTTAATGGACCTGAGCCAAGAGAGGGTCTTGTTTGCAGGTATGGTTTGACTGCCTATTTTTGCATCTGCCCTGCCTAGAGATGGGCACGAACTGCTGCTTCGGCAGTTCGTCTCGGTTCGTTTCTCGGCCAAACAGGAGTTTGGTGCTTCTCAGCCACGCCTCTGCTCAGAGGCAGTGCCCTGGCTTCTCTGCCCCACTCCCTCCTAGCGGGGTGGGCGCTCAACAGAGGAGGCAGGGCTGGGAAGTGCCAAACATCTGTTCGGCCAAAAAACGAACCAGCACGAACTGCCAAACCAGCCGTTTGCACCCACCTCTAGCTCTGACTTGATCAGAATGGAACCCTGTATCTCAAACACTGTAGTTTCCTCAATTTTATCTATTCTCATCAATAAATGTTTTTCCCCGTGTAAGAGGGGAAAATATTTTCTGATACCTTTGACAAGAGTTTCTTACGTTGCCATGAATGATTTTTTGTGCTAATTGCACAATTGTGCAAAAAAGCTACTGCAACACTGCTTTGTTTGCAAGAATTTTTACAGATCAGAAGCAGCGGGTGGGTTGCTCGTGTCTTTTTGAGCAATCAACTGGACACATTCTGTGCTTGTTACATATGTGCATGCTTGGCTACCCCAAGGGGAAGGACTCTTGTTTTTTGGAGAGACAATTTGCACAAATCACAGGCAAGCAAACTCATAGCGTTCCTTTTCTTCCTCTTTTTCTGGAAACAGGAAATGTTGTAGAACTTGAGCATTCTCGTTTCATTGTCCCATGGTGTAAAGACTGACTGAATCAACAAGAACACAGAATGTGAAGCATTCTTCACAACCCTAGTTGTGTGAGACGTGTCACATGGAAACTCAACAAAAGAACACGACACTCTTCTCCGGAGATCAGAATGGTATTGTCTTCTATTGATGGCTCCATTTTTAGTATATCCAAACACCGACAACACCACCAATCTTTCTAGTTTTGAGAAACATCCCCTTCAAAATGACAGCACAGTTTAAGAGCTACATTTTGGCCTTCTCTCTGTGTGTTACTTGGAAAGAAAGGATTCTCCAACATTTTGTAAGGACAGTGTCTAAAATCCAGTAGCAAGTCACATTTAGGGCTCATTGCATCAGTGAGAATTTGGGGACTCAACTTCTCTGTAAGTTCCATTGATTCAATGGATCTACTCTAGTTGTAACTCCCTACTAGACTTCAGCCACTGTCTGGTTCACTCCTTGTTATACCAGCATTTCTTCAACGGGCTTTCTTTAGGTAGAGAGGATTACAGAGTGAAAAAAAGGTGAACATTCTTAGTTTTCTCACATTTTCATACTCGGCCAACCAACCCATCTCACCCCAGCCCCTCATTAAATGCTATCGGGGTCCAGAGGCCGGGTGTTAATGCTGGTGGTACTTTGAAAGACAGACATAGGTAGACAGACGGGCTATATAATCCTTCCTCAGCAGCTTTTAAAGGGCTATAAAAAGGCAATAAAGAAAAGGGGACTCATTAGCTAGAAGCAGGGGGTTTGATTGCATTGCAGGCCACACTCCATTTATAGCCACCTGGGTAGGAATGTCTGCCTATACGTCCACTTATATGGTAATCTGGGGATCCTCAATTCATATGGCAGGGGAGGCGAGCAGGATAGCTATATTTTTAGAGGAGGCATGGGCCATCTGAAGACACGTATTTCATAATTTTTATTTGGAAAATCCATTACTCCCGTTGCTTTCTTAGCACGCATCTCGACTACATCACTCATAATGAGTAGTCATGTGCCATCGTCATCATCATTCAAAAATGCCAGGCACAAGCAATCAAAATTATAAAAACATTGACTGGTATTATATAACAGATACAAATTTGAATCAAAAACCTAAATAACTGCCAAATATCAGCACAGTAGGTATGCTGTCCTAATACTGCTTTTTTTTTTTGTAGTTATGATGGTGTGGTTTCTGAGATCTGCAACTGCTTACAGCACTGCGTGAAATTTCTTGGTATTGTTCCCAAAGCCCCAATGACTGCAGGGATCACTGAAGTGTGTTTCTTCCAGAGGCGAGAGGTTTCGATGGCCAGGTCTCTGTATTTTGTTAGTTTTTCCAATTCTTTATTTTCAGCTCTGGCATCCCCTGGAATTGCAATGTCGATGATACGTTTAAGGTGTCTATCCGTTTGGATCTGGAAATCCCACAAGATCTTGACTTCCTCATTTTCTGACACATCATCATCATCATCATCATCATTGGATAGATCTACAGTTTACCCATGTTCACTCTTTTTTAAGACTCAGGGTTCCTTTTCAGCTACCTGCCCACCCAACTCAGTATGTAATAAATCAGCCTCTCCTTCCCCATAAACCACTCCAGGAGCGAGC